GGAAAGAAAAAAATGGGCATTTTTTGGTTGGAATCTGATTTGGTCGTGGTCAGAAGTGTTCGTGACCAGAGCTTCTACTCTGTCCCTCTAATTAGGTACCGCTAATACACCTGTAATTTTTGAATTAAGTACATGTCCACTGTAAAGGACTGGATCACATATTGCAAAATTAGAAGGAATTCTATTTGATATCAAGAATAAAACCAAGGGATGAAATTTGTTGAAAACAAGATCATTGTTAAGAATTTGGGATAAGAATTTATCTTGGCAGTTTTGAACTGATAGACATATAGAGACATGTATTTGTAAGTGGGAACTCTAGAAGAATATGCTTAAAAATCATTCAATAACCTGAACCAAATATTTCTGTTCAAAGATTCTAGAAGATACGGATATTGGGGGAAATTTCATTACACGGTTGAAATCAATATATGCTTCACAAAGGGTACAAATTATAGTTAATGAGGAATGGACTAAACTCTGTGAAATACAAAAGGAAATAAGGCAAGGATGTCAACTTTTGCTGATTGGCTCAACCTCTTCCCAAGTAATTGGGCTAAGATGTGCCTCAAGCATCTCCATAAGACCTCCCAAGCTAGGGAAGATGGAAAGTTGGAGGGGGGCGAAAGAAAGGGTGTATGGAGGGTCGAAGAGGTACATTGGGTTTCTATTTTGGGGGGATATTGTTGACAAGAAGAACGGCTGTGTTTATTGTTTAATGTTATATGGCCCCGGTTGTGTACAGTATATATGTGACTGTACGAAAATGAAAATGGAAAATAAAAAACACATTTACACAGACAAAATAAATAAATAAATACACAAACAAACAAACAAACAAACAAAAAAAGACCTCCCAAGCCAAAGTCCAACTGAGAGCGAAACCCAGCAACTTTATCCAATCGATACCCAGAATAATTCTCACAACAGACCTGGTCGCCCAAAATGAGGAGCATTGGCTGGCTACCTGTGAATATAATATTCTTTGCTGCTTTTACTGCCACAAGTCTAAGAGCTGCTCTGGAAGCTCCATAGTATCCATAGAGTCCACACGTGTGTGATCTGGTCTGATCCAAGTCATCACTTATTCCAAGCCATGACCAAGATCTCAGCAGTTAAAACATCAGGAATAACCTCCAACCTCCCCTGAAACCCTAGTGGCTCCATCAATTGCCTGGGGTGGGCTGATTGAATAGGCCCCACCTCCTTGCAATGGGGGATAGTTACAGACCTCTCCTGGGTTGAGGAGGATCTGTCCATGGCAATGGAGTGATGTTAACATCCCCCAACCATATGAAGGTTTATAGGTTAAAAAAATATAGCAGTGTGGATCTGCTAGTGGGATCCAGTGTATGGCTCATGGCTTGCAGCAGCTCTTATCAACCAATAAACAGGCTACTGCATTTCCCATTAACCATTGCTTCTGACC